ATATATATATATATATATATATATATATATATATATATATATATATATATATGTATATATATATATATATCAAACATACATATATATATATATATTAAACATTATATCAAACATTTTTTTTCTCAGTGCAGAATTAAGAACTAAAAAGTTCTGGCAAATTTTCACATTAGTGCTACTAACTTAAGTGGAACAGAAAATCGCGATAATGACGAGACAAAATGACGAGGAAAATATCGAATTATAATTGAAAAATGAATTTTTAGTCAATTTCTCATTATTTCGACGGCAATTTTTTATTCTGTCTAGGTAAAATAAACCAGAATTCTTTTATATTCGTTTATATTCGACTTGAATCATAGGAAAAATCGATAGAGCTGTTCATGGGACTAATTAGAACTCTAAATTGACTGATCTTCCGAAAAAAAATTTATGAAATAATTATTTTTAACAAAAAGCGCAGTCTTTTTCCTTAATGTTCTGATAACTTCAGATTGCTCCTCTCCCAAACAGTTCTATCGATTATTTTTATGATTTGCATCGATATAAGCGGAAACAAAAAAGTTCTGACTTATTTCAGTACAAGATTTCACAAAGTTTGCTCTTCCTCTTTTCAAATAGTTTTTTGACTACTTAAAACATCAGAACTATTTCTAGAATTGATTGAGAACTCTAGAACTCTTCCGGGGATAACTAGAGAGAAAACTTTTTCAAATTTAAAAAATGAGAAGCTAACTTTACCCAAGTTATAGCACTGCCGAAGTGGCCCGTCTTCTCCGTGGAGGGTAAAGGTTGGTCCTGGCTGGGAATCCCGGCCGGAATTTCAGCGGGAAGATATTTCTTTTCTTGGAACCAAAGATTCTCGATATGGCAATAAACTTAGTTGCAAAGAGCGGATAGTCTTCCGCTTACGCGTCTTACGTCATTAACAATTTCATACATTGCAAGTCTTTTTACTCACCTCGATTTTTCTGCGCGACGGTGTTTATTTTTAAAAATATAATGGCGGGAAAAATGATTACGTACGAAATTTGTCTCCACATATTAGATTGTGTGATAAG